GATAGATAGATAGATAGATAGATAGATAGATAGATAGATAGATAGATAGATAGATAGATAGATAGATAGATAGATAGATAGATAGATAGATTATGACTGGCGCTATGTTAGTTAGTTTATTGGGATAAAAAGTGATCACTGACTCGACAGATCTCCATGCGGTTGGCTGCCTCCTCCATCTCTTCCCTGAGGTGGTCGGCCTTGGCTCCTGTTGGCTGCAGGTTGCTGGACAGTCCAGAAGATTTGGTAGACTGAGTGTACCTGTGAGCAGAAGGTAGGTTTCAGTAAGAAGTGAATTTGAGTCACAAAAGTATTCAGGATTTTTTTAGGGCAGCATGTTAAACTGTTAGAAGGCATTTTTCTTTGCCTTAAGCAGATCTAGACTTTTGTTCCCGAGTGAGAAAAGCGTTGACAGCGAGACCTGACAGCTACTTTAACAAAGTGACTCACATAAACAAATCAAACTGTTGAAGGCAATGGATTAAGTCTGTGGCTGACAAAATACTAACACTTGTCTTTCTATATACCCTCATTTATTCAGCTTAAGCTGTTTTGTCTTTTAAGTATTGCTCTCAGACTCTCCTCTTCCCCCTCCATCCATCTGTCTGTCAGTGTAGATAATGTGTAGAACTGCCAGAGGAGCTCAGCACACAGCAGCATAATGGGAAAACTTGCTTTAGATTTGGGTCACTAAAGAACTGGCTGGCTGGACCGCAGTGAGGAAAACAACATTTCTGCATGTCACTGCTCAAAATGGCAGTGAATCAGCTGAAAGAAACTGTGGCAATTGCACGTTTCAAACAGGATCAGGCACTACTGACTTTATTCTGCATCACCTAGACGCCATTAAAAGTTAAATTTACCTGAAAGTTAACTGAAGTTAAGAAATAGCTGCATTAAAAACCCTCAAAGTTACAAAGCCAGTGCAGCTGTGAGACATCAGACCGATCCTCTGCAGAGTAAAACGGATTATGTGGTGAGTTATTAATGCGTGTGTATATATTAAAGATGGATGCAATCGACTGGTTCGAGAGGCCACATTTGCGAAGCCTCAAACAGCTGCCACCTTATCTTTTTGAAACCAGACATCACGCGCAAGAAACCGCGGGACAGTCCATGCTCATATCGTGGACATACCTTGCTTTACTGCCTTTCTGGACACTAATGGGGACCATAATTTAAAAACTGAAAATGATGTTGTTCTTATTAAGACAGTAGTGTCAAAATGCATCAAGAGCCCAGAAGATCATCGAAGTACATGGAGGTACATTTACAACACACGCCGCCTCAGCAAAGCCACCAGTATCTGTGTGAACCCCACACATGCATCCCACAGCCTGTCTGAACCCCTCCTCGCGAACACCCAGAGACATACGAGCACTTAATGAGCCCATCATGTTTGGACTATCTCACTGCAGCCGATAAATCTCACAACCACAGCCTCATCTTCAGCAATTTACACTATATGAGCTGTATTGACAGATATTTTATCTTTTTTAAAATTTTAATTCGTTTACCGAGTTTCTAAGGAGAAGTTGCTTTTGTATCTCATTGGACTGTAAATAAAGGAATCATTTAAATCCATAAACTAATCAGGAAAACAATTCCTGAGGTCACAGATCAAGGGAGTCTATGGTTGCTTTCCCGTAGACTTCTATACAACAAATGTCTTTTTGTGACCAGGGAAGTCGCCCCCTGCTGACTATTAGAAAGACTGCAGGAAGCTACATCCGTCCTCTAATTTTATAATCTGATATAAAGCACTCCTTATGTCAACACAGCCATAAAATCAGGCTTAGAAAGCCTTTTTTCTATCCAATTTTGTCAACTAGCATTTAGTTCTAGTCAAAAATAATAAACAGCACCCTCAAAAATAAAAGTCCGCTTCTACAGCAGCTCAGGAAGTAAAGGTTTCATTTCAGTGTTTGAGCCTATTGCTCTAAACACCTTCACACTGATACACAATCTGTTTAGCAGGAAGTGTGAGGAGGAATCAGCCAGTGGTCTGTGGTATTTGAAGCACGAGTGTAACAGCTACAGACATCAGTATGAAGGTCCACACTGAGTGTGTTCGTTACAGAAAAAAAAAGGACAGTCTGGTTTAAAGTGAGGTTTTCACACACGGGCAGCAGTCTGCGGGGTGAGACAGACGGCAGCGTCACGGTGTGCAACAAAATCCCAGTGACATTCAGTGGGAAGCTGCACAGCCAGTCCATTCACAGCTGATGGAGTTTCTCCGATAACAGCCAAGCCTCTCTCTCACACACACTCACACACAGAGAAACACACTCACCGTGTGCGTGCAGAATCCATGTCCAGGACCAGCTTCGCTAAATGTTTCCTTTGTTTCTGGATATTTGGGATTTCCACCTGAGAGGACAGAGCAGAGATTTTCCCTCAGTCTGCTGTGTTAGTGTGAAAGAGGACAACAAACAGCCTCAGTATTGTGAGGCTTTGCACCTGTAGCAGCAGAATCAGTCTGGGCAGCACTTTCTCATTCTCATGGAGATTAGCTTACTGGCTAATTTGCAGAGCAATAAGTAGAGTTCATCAGAGAAGTCCCGTGTTTGGGGACTGGAGGCAGGAAGCTCCAATCTTCTTGCTATCAGTTTCTAACTTTTTATCACTTCAAAGTATTTTATTCATAGATACAGGGCACCTTAATGAGCAAAACTACACAACAGTCCTCTCATGCTGAAACAGCTCATACCTCGTGTGAATTACTTGTCGCCCCCTTTCCTTCTCTTCTATTTTTCTATTTAAAAAATAATGAAAAATAAACCATTTTTATAATGTTTTTCTGCCCTGTTGAATTTCAGATGCTCTATAATCATATCACAATTATATTTCCACTTTTTCTTACCAGGACGCATTTTGGACTCCTTTTCTAATCAGATGCTTGCTGTTACTGCTGTTAATGTGACTGGAGCTCATTTATTAAACAGTTAGTCGCACGGCATTGTTTCTGTACCTCTGCGAGCTCGTACAAGGGTTCGGTCACGTCCCTCTCGATGGTGAGCTCGAACAAGATGAGCTCCTGAGCGAGCTTTTCCTGCGTGTCGCCGCAGAGCTTCAGCATCTTTCTGCAACAGGAAACATCACAGCGGATTCACCGAGTGCAACATACACAGGTCAGTCAGTGTTACAGCTCGCTTCCTGGTTTGTAATATTGAGGTTTCTCTTAAATCACTGTGAAAAACTCTTGTGTCACCCCTCATTTCTTTATAGTTTGCTTCTATAATATCTGTAGTTGGACACTGGCTGCTTTTTCACTCATGCTCAGTACAGTTCTTGTACCTAACCATTTTCAAATTGTTGTTTTAAGTCAGTTAAAGTGACTCATGACTCAATCAAGCAATAAAAATGCAACTCAGACATTAAACCAGTGATGTATCTGCACATAATAAACAATTTAGCAAAGAACCTTGCTTGTTGCAAAAGCACATAATTTCTTCCCATTTCTTTAGTTGAAGCCGTCTGACAGGCATAAAATACTATTTTTGCACCAACGAGGTGACTTCTAAAGAATGTCATTATATATCATTACAGATATTATTATTATACTCGGGATGTGAAAAGCAAATCAGTTCTGGGTCATAAAAACGTTCCTCTCTGCATCAGCCTTTCCAAAGAAAATGTTTCCAATCTCATCGATGATCAACAATAATGTAAATTATTATATGTGTGTGTGTGTTTACCCTAGCAGAGACTCGTCCCCGAGCACAGCTGCCCCCTCCACCATACATTGTGCTAGCGTTGCGAGCGGAAGCTTTTTCTGCACAGAAACACAAACAGTCGATGAATCAGCTGCAGTTCATAAATAAAACCACAAACACAGAGAAAACATCATAAAAGCATACGAAGATTATAAATTATCTTTAATATAAGTACCTGAAGTTAAAACACGTGCTCATGTCACATCAGTTCATCACTTTTGCAAACTTTTATTTTATTTTTAATTAATGAATTTTAAAAAAGCTTATTTTTCTCTCTTTTTTTCCTTGGCCTTCTCACGAGTTACTGTCTTGGTTCCATCTTAAAACATCTTCATCTCAGGCTCCTCTAAGCTTTAGGATGAAAACATTTTTAATCCAGTGAAGGATTAAAAAGATTAACTTTCCACAACACAAATGGCACATTATTGTGCAGCACTTGAATATTTTGTCACTCAGTCTCTTGGTTTGCAGGAAAATATTTCCTCTGTGGGTTTTTTAAAACATTTACTGGAGGATGAAACATGCTTTCCAATATCGTTGCTAATCACCTGTCAGTGTCCTTCTGTCCTCTCTGAAAGTCTTAAAATTTAATTTGTCATTAGGAAAACTTTTAGTCTCAGTTGTTATGAAATTACTGAGAGCACAATGAAGAAAAACTGGATAGGTAGAAAATGATTCATTTTCATTCTATTCCATTAAAATATAACAATAAATATTAAGTTGTGGCTGCTGCTGATTAGCATGCAATGTTTTTAAAACAAATCAATAAGACAAATGAAGAGCAGCAGCATGCTCTGACTGTAGAAATAAAGCGTAAGACATGCCCAGAGGGCAGATAAGTCTGCTGTTTACACCAATCCTGGAACATTTTACTTTGTATACTAAGATTTAACCGCATAAACTTCACTGCAGTATAACAACTATTGATCGATTTATTCAATTCATTTGAGCGTACACACAGGCCTCGATTTGTTTTTCTTGTGTTACTAACCATCGGTCACTAGTGGACATTCCAGACCCCCGGTTGCCTAGGTAACCCTCTAACGCATTTACCAACTTGTCATATATCCGTCAACAGTGTTCTTTGCTGTCACTGGTCAGTGATACCCAAATTCTTACCACCTCTCTGCTCTTTCATATACATAAATGTAAAGCCAGAGGCAGAGAGACCAGCAGCAAGACCACGACACAGAACAGAGCAGGCATGAATGACAGCAGATGTGCCACTGAATTAACCAGCATGAAAGGATGAGCTAGGTAGAAGGTGGAAGTGGGTTGCAAAGTGGCCTGCAGATAACCATTAAATGTATGCAGACTAAAGCTGCCTACAGAAGCTGCCCTACGTGAGATTCGTCAGTAGGATATGAAGAAAGGTGTCAAATGAGCAATCAGTTTCTTCTAAGTTTCAGTTTCTTCTTCACGTTTCTTCTAAGTCCCGTCGTTGTTGGACTTTTGGATGAGTTATAAAAAGATTCACGTCTTCTCTGAGGATTGGACCTCCCAGTGATCGTTTATTGGTTAGGAAAATGTGTAAACCTACCCCGTCATATTTATGGCTCCAACCTAACATGGCCAAAATACTAAGGCTGTAAAAAAAATGTATATGGTTGTACATCATGTGATTTGTACCTTGATCAGCACACAAGCCCACACTGGTACTGTACAGCTCAGCTAAAATACCAGATGACAGAAAAGGTTTTATCAGATTTGTAGTGTTTATTTTCTCTCACCGAGGGTGACCTGACAGACTTCTTGTCCACATCCACGCCCTGCTGACCCTGCAGACAGGCGGTCAGCTTCTTGTGTGTGCTGTGGGAAACCTGCTTCACCAGCTCCAGACGTTTCTCCACCTGAAACACACACAGAAGGGAAGGAAGACAGAAAAGTCAGGGCACAGGCCTCAGCCAGAACCATGCACACACTGTGAGCTCCTTCCACTAATGCACAGCTTGTGTCAGCTTCAGTTACAGACATGCACTCAAACCTCAACCCAGAACAGGGTTAGATTTAAAAATAGAAACTCCATCTTTCCATCAGAGCTTTTCCCCCAATAAAACAGCATCATTCTCAGTTGGTGTGAATGACGCCGCACCATTACCTGTTGGGCTTCAATGCGTCTCATTTCATTATTAAACCAGCTGAGTGGAAGCGATGTGTCTGCCACTCAGAGCATCATTAATCTGATCAATTACAATATCGCACCCCAAATCAATCAGCGAGGACGTTTCGCTTTTTGTCTCGCAAAGAGGTTCAATTTCAGCGTTCGTTAATGTTGCCCGAAGGCAGTTCAGAAAGCCATTAAAAATAACAAAACATATTAAAAAAAATTCACGCATGCTGAATATTTTGCTCCATTAATGATTTTTCTTGTGAGATTTTTCTTGTGAGAAGCAGTGACTATCGAGCCAAAGAGGAAAAGCATTCGCACAAACACACAGATTCGATGAAGACTCATTAGTACCTGCAGCAGATCTTCACTCAGCACTTCTGTTTTTTCAGCCCTGGAAGAAAAGAGAAGAGCGGCTGTTAGGATGACAGAGAGAGGGAAACGTTAAAATTACAGAACTTGTTATTGTGGGAACTTGGCAAGTAGCGCACAAACCACTCAATCACTGTAATTGCATCATTTGCTCGACTTCTGTGCAAGAAATATAAAATGCTGCAGCTGCCTGGAGCTAATCGTGTAAGAGGAATGTTTATTTTCACAGTTGCACAGGACTCACGCTGGTCTGGTTTAATTACAAAGTCTCAAGTTGGAAATGTGACAGAAAACAGAGACTGACTGACACTTACAACATTTTTAAACTCTTTGACTTATCTTCCAATTATTTTATGGGTTGGGAATTTTTCTATCCTAATAACTAAATAAACAAATCTAAAAACTATCAGAATCATCTGAAAACACACAAAAAAGCTTATTTTAGTTCATGGAAAACGTCCAAAAACTCTGCTCCAAAAATGAGTCAGTCTCCATAGACTCTCCCAACTTTACAGCCAAATAAACATGTTTATAGCCTGCTGCAAAGAAACGTTTTGGTCTCTATAGCTAAAGCTCCAATCAGATAGTTAGCAACCAGTTGGCAACTGCCGGGCAACCACTGGTAGCTGTGAAAACCTCATCCACACGGGCCTAAAGACCAGTCAGTCCCCTGATGATAAGCAGCTGCTAGGAAAAAATGTGTGTCCCCCCAACCAGTTGGTGAGAGCTTGTTTGCTGTCAGTAGGTGAGATTAGTTCCCAAGAGGTTCTGCCCCAAAAGCTTCTTTAGAGTTGCTTTGGTTGCAACTGGTTGCCACCGTCTCCTGTAGTTTGTATGGAAGACACCAACTTATCTCCAACTAAAAAAAAAAGTGCAACAAATTCATCCTCAAAGTAAAACTGGCATCTTTTGCAGCACGTTGCTCTCTGAGATAAGGCACAGCTTTTATTTTGCAGGTGAGCAGTCTCGCCTTCCGGTCTGTAGCAACCAAAGCAATAACAAGGAGATATTTGATGCAGCAACCTTTTTGTGACTGATCTCATTTACATTAGCAACAGCCAGCAACCTCCATCAACCGCTCGCCAGCAGTTTCACTTTCGTGTAACTCCACGGGGTGACATTATTTAACTCACAATTTCAGCGTGTATTTAGTTCCAAAGCTATATTTTTTAGCGGGGCTTCTGCGTTGACTGATAAGTGGATGCTGAGTCAGGTAACCAGAGCCTATAGCTGTCTGCTAGGCCTCACCTCTGTCAGTTTAAACCACTGAATGTGACCTTTCAACCACATTTGCACTGTTTGTTATTATTATTTAATACGTTTCTGTCTTGGTGATGCACCCATACAGCTTTTTGATTCAGCTTGCTTGCGTTAGCTGATAACTTAGCACTCCTCTATCTGGATCAACAAATATGCAATAAAATATTATAAAGACACTACGGTGGTGACTCAACAGAAGAAACTACCGGGAACTTCTAGTGACAACAAGAGAAATAACCCTTTACAGAGGCAAAGTGGGCAGTTCCCGATATTCTCAAACGTAGAGTGCAGGACTGAAGTGACTGATATTTGAAGGGGATCTAGACAACTGCACACCTGGCATGGCCATCAGCCACCAGCCAGCTATGAAGCGACAATTACAGTGTATGTGTGCCAGGGCTTAAGAGTCAAGTCACAAACCGAAATGCCAATGTTACCATAGAAACATGCTCCCAGTGGCAATGCAGTGTTACTGATATTAACTTTGTGTACTGTTGATTATGTTCAGTGAAGATGAAAGGATGTAAGGAGCAGAGGTAGTGAAGGTGGATGAGTTTAAATACCTGGTGTCAACCATTCAAAACAGTTCAAAGAAGAGATGAAGAAGAGAGTGTAGGCTGACAAAGACAGGATACTGGATTAATTTTACATTTCCAGAACTAAGTATTAAAGTATTACCCCCATAAAAATTTATTAAAAAATGTTAATGTTGCCTCTTTCAGAGTCAGACTTTCAGTTAGTGTGCATCAAAGTAGTAAACATATGTATACATATAAGAATGTTTCTTATTTATCTTTTCTTATTGTCAATAAATCCCACATTGACAAGAAGAAAGAATCGCCTCCTCAAGCTGACAGTGGTTCCTACTGAAGACGCAAGCCTTTAAAAACAACCCACAAATATATCATTTCATTTTCCAGAAAAAAAAGAGCTTAGTAGCCCTAAAACAGCTGCTCTCCGCAGGTTTCAGCAAATGTTTCTCAAACAAGAAGAAATGGAGCTTTTGTTGGAGACTATTATCTGCATCGCATTAATGTACACATGGTACTCTAGTGAGTTTTTCAGGCAGCAGGATGGTGTGTTTGTGAGATTGAACCATTATAAACCAGTGTATGTGTTCATGATAATGAAGAAACATGTCACCCAGTGCAACACTGATGTGTTTTTAATAGTTTCTGCACAACAATGAAGCTCGATAGCACGCAGGAATAAAAACTCTCAAGCTTTAAATGTGCAGACAACACATGGGTGTTGTTGTTATTCATGGGTGTTGTTAATATCAGGCTTTAACTAATGATGAATGATTTTAATCATACCAACGATGTAGCATTTAGAAAAACATATTCTGCTCCATTATTTGATCACCAGTTCCTTCAGGAAGCCAAAGCGCCATGCACTGAAATAACACTAACAGACTGCAGCACTGCCTTCAGCAGCAGTTGAACAGCTGATGGAGATCAGTGTGGATATTTCGGATGCTAAGATGACCTGTAGGTTAATAACAAAGACAGCCTCTGGAGGAAAACGTTGCCTGGAGTGTCAGAAAGCCTTTAGACAATAGATCTGAGAAGATGCAAGATAACAACAAGGTGCAAATTTAAAATAAGGCAAAACCTGCAATTACTGGTCTTATTTCACCTGGCTAACGTTTGCAGAGATATTTATCTATTGGCATCTTCTTTTAACGCTAATAAGGAAGTTTTATGCATTTTTTAATTGTCCATTTCTTGAAAATCTCTTAACATTTATGTCTATCTGCTGGTTTAGCATAGCTTACTCCTGCTTTAAAATCACGGGGGTCAGACAAAGACATCTGTGTCCAGTAAAGATGCACAAACCTACCCGTTTGAATTTCAAAATCAATCCAAACACCTGCTAAAACCAAATTTTTGCTCTTTCAAAGTTGACATGAATGCATGACAATTTATAAAGTTTCAAACATCAATCCTGGGATGAAAGACATGAAGGTTACAGTAAGTTTTTTCCCCCCACATAAGTATTTCATTATTTTTTGACAGTTTGAATGCGTTACTGTTAAATTTCCTCTGATGGCTGTTGCAGTATTCCTCTATTGTTGTTCATAAGCAAACAAAAAAAGTCCGAGTGTATAAATAGCCAAAATGCTCATTTTTTGTTGCCGTTAAAACTAAACAATGATGAGAAATAGATCCAGCAGTTAAAGATGAACCACAGCATCCTCACCACCGTACAGGTTCTTTCTTGGGTTACCTTTCCTTGTCTCGCTCTCTCTCTTGCACATTTCCCCCTGACAACCAGTTAGTTTAACAAAGTTCAGAGAACAGTTAAAACAAGTCACAATGCAGATACTCAGAGCTGTAAATAGAACAGATGCAGGCAGATGAGTGGATATAAAAACAGAACCAACAGCATTGAAACTACACACACACAGCTACAGCAGACATTTCTTCTCTCTGTCTGCTGCGATTCAGCCTCACTCACACGTCGATTATACATCAGGCATCAGTTTCCTAAAAGCATCTTAAGACGGTCTTTAGAGCGCTGTAATGCTCAGAGAGAAAATATGTTTGGGAGCTCTGGTTTCAGACTGAACTGCTGCAGACAGAAATGATTGTAACTTGAGGAAAAAAATCAGAGTACAGCAATGAACCGAGGAACGACTGAGTGGCTTATCTGTCACTTATGAGTAGCAAAGTGCAATTTGGTGGGACCGGCTTAGCAAGTGGTTTCAGGTATCAGATCACCATGTGTCTTAATGGATATTTTCACGTGTATTTAACACTGTGCACTTGTGATCTGATAACCACGGATGCACTTGAAAACCAACTGTAAACCGGGCCAAGATAAAAAGACTAACTCTGTACCTTGTTAAAGTTTTTGTTCTGCTGAATTTTATCAGCCCTGATGTTACGCTCTGCTCTGAACAGCCTTTAGCAATTGTTTCAGTTTGTATTCAAAATATCAGTAGCAACACTGATAAACAGGTAAGTGTGAATCACCTGCGGTGCACTTCCTTCACCCCCGCAGACAGAGAAACCTGTTATTAAACAGGCAGATTAGGTTTTACAAGGTCACCTCCAGAGCCTGGAGTCTTAACTACAAGACTAATAACATTTCTGCTATTTTACAAGGTCATTACCTTAATGCCTGATGTATCATATTTGACAAGTTGAGTTTTGTGAATTTGACATCAGTGTCACAAAAATTAAAATTCAATGTACTGAATGTAAATAGTTGGAACGTACTTACAGACCAGATTTGTGTGACTAAGGTCTTAAATAAAAAAGTATTATTTACAGTTTTCCTTCACAGTAGATTCAAACTGTCAAAAGCATCAGTGAATAAAATTTTAAATAAAGCCAACTCTGTCTAAATGCTGGATTAGCAGAAACTGTTTGATGACTAGATGAAAATATGTTATTTTCAGTGTAACTAATATAATATATAAGTTAACACATTCAGCAGCCCTTTGCTTTCTGACCGAGAACACGCACCAGACCAGTCACACCTACCTTACCTGCCTTTCTGAGCAGCACAGACACATGTTCCCCTCTAAATGTACCTACTGCCACATACAGCTATACATTTCACTCAAATTTAGCTCAAATTCAAAATAAAAAATAAAACACAGAGTGAGCCTGCTGTGGCCCAGTGGACTTACACAACAATGCTTTTTCTGCTCGACCTCTTAGTCTTGCCAGAAATCTGCAGCTTTCTCCTCCACATCCCCCCTGCTCACAGAAAGGACATCACCTGTTTTCAAGCAGGAGTTCAGTGACCACAAAGAGCAGAGAGGAGGTGGCGAAAGTGGGAGGAAGAGAGGGAGGGGAAGGGCGGCGTAAAGAATGAGACCTGACTATCTGGTCCTTTCACTCACTCATCGTCACCAGCCTCTGCTTTATGTTCCCCTCTGTGAACAGATTGGACTTTCAAATGTGTCCACATTATGTGTTTATGACTGAACAGACACACATCTCTTTCTCCCCAAAAGCCAACATTTTACATTTTGTAATATATTTAAATTCCAAGGGTGTCCTAATAGTTTTTTAGCCCTCAGTACTGAGTAAAAAGACCCATGCTCTGCTTGTATGAGCTGCGCTCTCAGATTCGTACCAGTGGAAACAAATTTATTTTTTCAAAGAATGGGCCATGGAATTTTCCACTGCCAATAAAGTCCAGTTTATCTAGCCTTAAGTGTTAGATTTAATCCTAAAATGTGAGTTTTAGCTTTCACTGTAAGGTGTTATCATGTTGCTTTTTTCACTCTAAAACTAAACATTCAGTTTGAGTCCAGATGAAATATTAAATTAAGTACTTCACTTTTCAGTTCAGCACATGGAAACTCGTTATTCTTGTGAAAACATGAATAAAGTTTTCTGTTCTGAAGATGATTCAGACCGTGTGGAGTGTTAGAGGTGAGTCCAAATGCAGAGATGAGAAAGCAGAAAGTAAACCCTTTATTGACTGGTTTCAAATTCTACAAGAGGCAAAACATAAAGTCCAACAAGGAAATAATGAAAACTACAAACATCTGAAATATAAAGCAAGAAACTACACAGGGGCAAGTCGGAGCAGCCACTCTCACCAAAGACAAGGGGAGGCAGTGACTATATATACACTGAAGGGCAATCAGAGAGACAGCTAGGGAGACTGAGACGGCTGAACTAAATCACAGAAGATGAGACCAGGGAAGAAAAACTTAAAACAAAGCACAAAGAACACTACAATTCAAAATAAAGCAGGAAGTGTGATAAGTAAACTGGGAAAATACAGACACATGAATGAATTTGACACAAGAGGATGAAACAGTGAGGAAATAATTTAAGAGGAATAAACACCAAGAGTCAAGACTATGACAAGAGCAGTTCTGTGAGGCTGTACTTAAATAAAGTAGCACTATTAAGCCTACCCTTATCATGCTAACATGCTCACAGTGACAGTGCTAATATATCTTATGTTTAGCAGGTATAATATTTATCTTGTTCCATCAATTACTATGTTAGGATGCTAACATTTGAGCCACAAGATGTAATCTCTCCAGCGTGTCCTGGGTGCACCCTGGGACCTCGTCCCAGCAGAACATGCCCAGACACAGGAGGACACAGGATGTCTGAAGGTTTCACCTCAGCTGGCTCCTTTTTATGCAGAGGAGTAGCGACTCCACTTTGAGGTGATTGACAGAATTCATCACCCGTCTCTAAGGAAAGCTAATTTCTGCTGCTTATATTGGTGATCTTATTCTTTCAGTCATTACTCAGACTCGTGACCACCGGTGAGAATAAGGGCATAGATCAAACCGGCAAATTGACACCTTTGCTTTTATGCACAGCTCTCTCTTCAACCCATCGCCCTAAACTCCCACTCCCCTAATGCTCCCCTGTGACTCATCACCTCAGTGTGGTGGAAAGGTTTGTGTGTTTCTGTCATTCCATGGGCTTTTATGTTGGTCCCAGTGAAAGCTAAAATAACAAGGGACCAGTTTACCCTGCCAAGGAGAGGATGCCCCCACACTGGAACAAGACCTGGGTAGGAAGCTTGAGGGAGAGTGCTTGGTGGTCTTAGCCCATGGGGCCTGGCTAAGCACAGCCCAAATGTGTATCGGACAGCAGTCAAGACCGGAGGCCCTGATGGTCCAGTCCCCGGCTGCTGATGCTGGCTACTGAGGTTTACAGTTGGGATTTAATGATGTCTCCATGACATTGTGGTGCTGAATGACAGTGTTTCTGTTTGCAGTCACAGTTTCCTGCTTCAGTAACAAAACTGAACTTATTTCTGACACAATATGTACAAACCGCTGGTCTTTCTCTCCCTGAATTCGTCTTCTCTCTGGCACTAAAGAAGTCTAAGCAAGATTCACAGTCTCTGGATTTAACACCGAGATAATGATCCTTATGCAAACACAGAGATACACGCACGCACACTAATGATGAGGTTAGCAATTGCTCACCCGTCCTGGAAAGCCAGTTGCTGCAGAGAGATGGAGATTAATGCACGCGCACACATTGAATCCAAGCATGCTCAAATTCAATGCACATTGTCTCGTTCCCTTTCCTCAGTGACAGTTTTGTAGATTTCACCCAGGTACACACACAAACGTACACATCCACTTTGTCTCTTTCCAGGTGTGACATAATTAATGTGAAGGCTAACACAAGCAAAACAAACTGCTGTCTGCTGTCACGGTGAGTTTTCACACCCAGGAGATAAAAATTCAGACTGTGTGCATTATGTTTGCAAAAGCACCTGCATAACTGAGAATAACAATGTCTAACGGACAGTTGAATAAGTCTTCGGTTTGAACTGTCATGTCCTCAATTACCAGAAGGAGGCAAGATCCCATAATACTTTGACCACACTTATCCCAGATGGAAAAGGATGTATTATTAACTGTATATTAAAGCTATAATGTGCCTGCAGTACGACTGGACACGTGAATTTGAAGGTAGATTTCTATAATGTGGGTTCGGTAACTACAGCAGCAGCAGAGCAAGCATACGGACATACACCAGTCACCTTTCTGCAAATATAGGGGAAAAAGATGTTTGCACACAGTTCATACCACTGTGATCAGAAATGCCCTTTGAAGCATCTCCATCTAAAGGTTTAATTCTCCAGTTAAAATGTTGTAATTCCCAGGAAACATGTGCTGCTAGCAGTTCCTGATGCTTGGCTGCGACTCTGCATATCTGCACGTGTAAGGAGAAGGTCAGCTGTTTATGTTGTGCTGACGTTTCCACTCGGGGGATTTGGGCCTCGTAACGCAGCATGACTGGGGTCACAGCTGAGGAAGGGAGAGGCTAACAAACACATGGTTCATATTTTGGAAATGCCTGACTCAATGAAATAAGCAGCTACATGTTGTTGACGGCCGTGTTTGCTCCAGGAAAAAAAAAGTGGGCAAACAGGAGAAAGAGAGCTTCGTGTGATGAGTCTAAACCGCACTCGTGATTCAGCTTGCTCTTCTACCCTTCTCACTGCAGTTTTTTTTTTGTTAATTGTTTGACACATCAAGGGCACTACAGCATCCTGAATCAAAGCCTCAGCAACAGAGTCGGTGCTTTACTGCGGCATCAGCTTCTGGCGTCACAGCCGGGATTCCCACCGGCACAGAGAGGCAAAGAGGGGGAGGCAGCGAGAGGTGATGAAGAATACAGAAGCAGATAACAGATGTGTAAAAGGGATTTTTCAGTCATAAATCTTGTGAGGGGGAGCTGAAGTGACAGAGGTTGGGAATACAGAGCGTTCTCTAAAATGACTCAATTCTGTTTCCCCCCATCTCGACAAAAAAAGTCTGTCTGAAAACTTTTTGCAAAGGTAGTGCAGTAAAAAGAGTTTCTCTGAACAGCACTTGAGTTAAGTTATATCGCTAATAAAGTGCAATAACAGAAAAAGGGGTTTTTGGTATGAAGCAAAATGCTGATTTGTTTGAGGGAGTGAAAATAGAAGCATGTGGAGAATTCTGCACAATCCACATTTTTCGAGTTATAAGCAAAACATTTGCAATGTGACATTTTTTCTTGCTTTCCTGGAGTTGTCTTTAACTGCCTGAAAAATGTGAAAGCCCAATCCATCAGAGTCATTCAGAGCATTAAAACTGTAATGAAACAACATAAGCCTTGTTTCTTCCTTGATTTTTCTCCAGTAAATGCTTCCAGGGGAGCTTTTTTATTTAAAGCCATTGTTTCTCTTACTGAAATATCTGTCAACACGCCACAGCAGCAGTTAGTGTCAGCGCTGCTCTTAAGTTCTTCAATCAACTTTACGCAGCTTAACACTTGATGTGTTTTCACTGGTGCCGATCTAAACCTGCTCAGCAAACCAAAGACCTTTTTATAAACAGCCTCAGTGTTGACATATTAAACAGTAATGCATGTTGAAAGAGAAGAGAAAAAAAGGAATTCAAGGCCACATTCAGCGGCTTTGACTCATAATGCCAAGCCACACCATGTTTTCATCACTGGATTATTAAATTTTATTAAGGTTAATGTTTAAGCTACTCAGATCTTAATTATACCTGTTACAATAAATAAATACATTTAAGATTTAAAAAAGCGATGTAACGGAGTAGAAGTCTTAGGCTACGTCCACACTAGCGCAGCTCTATTATCCATTTGAAAATTTAAGATTGATTATTTTGTGTGATTATTTTCAAGATGCTTTTTAAGGCAAAGTCAATCAGACTTACATTTTTTTGTCAATTAATCAAGTGCATATGATTTCCTTCACTTTTAATTCCTATAGAAGCAGTAAGGCTATACTTAGTTTTTCACAGGACTGCACAGAGTCCTGTGAGGACTATAGAGTGGAAAACATAAAATTATCAGGATCTAGAGTCTATCCCAGCTACCACTGGGTGAGGAGCAGGGCACACCCTGGACAGATCATCAGTCTGCTGCATTGCGAACACAGAGAGATAGACAACCATTCACACTCATAGGCAATTTATCATTACTAATTAACCTAACCCCACTAATAGCATGTCTTTGTACTGTGAGAGGACACACAACATGATGCTAACGCCACAAGGAAAAGCCAGATGATGAAGTCCAACTTGGACCTTCTTACTGTGAGTCAGCATTGCTGACCACTGCACTGCTTCCTCGTTTGCTGTGGACAAGTGCTCTGCTGCTTGTGTTTAGACCCACAGCTAAAAGTTAGAAGCTGCTTATTTGTGTGGATTAGTTTATAAGTGTAGCTTATAATTATTAAATGTTTTCCCAATAGAAAACAGAAAAATACTACACTAACCTTTGTTGTGTTCTTATTGAAAATCAAGAAACTATTGCTGTGGTGATTTTGTGCTTTCAGATCAGTGATTCAGAATAAGATGATTTTATTCAAAATACATCAGCAGAATTTTCTCTGTAACCACCAGCGAGTGTTAACGAGTAAACAGGTGAACTGAGCTGAGAAATTCAAAGATTAGATTTATAAACTGAGAAAACACATCAGCGTTGTTTTGACAGTTTGTGTCCTCAAAGGTGCTTTTTTTGTTTTGCTTCTCGCTCTTCTGCTGCCGGGGAGTTTCCGTCAGTGACACAGAGATCCGACACTCAGAAGCTTCAAAGAAGAAACTGAACAAGTCATCAACAGAGATTATTGTCCAAACTTTGCCTGTAAATAATTCACTTTGCGAATGTTATAAGACAAAGGAAGTGCATTTGGTAGGCCTTGAGGATGTACACGGTACTTTGTGAAAAGAAAACTGAACGTGGAAAATATAAATACTTGTAGTTCCTCGACTCTTATTGGAAAGGTGTTTCTAACACAGTGTTCAAATTCAGGCTCTACAATACACACAGTGAATACTATCAGCTAAACTACACTTCATATTCTAGACAACTCTATCAAATAAACCACATTCATCATTGCAATTAGACCTCAAAAGGCTACTAGGCAGAGACAAGCCATGTTTCTCTACTTTTTTGTCTATTATGAATAACAGCCATATATATGGTCATATGCTTTATCAAAAATGAAAGCTTTAAGCCTAATCTTAAAAATAGAGAGAGTGTCTGTCTCTCAAATCCAAACTGGGAGCTCGTTTCACAGAAGAGGGCCATTTTTACCTTGCTCAGTTTTTATATTTGCTTTTATACTTTTATGACTGTTTATGTCTAAATTTTATCTTACTATGTTTGCTATATATACATTTTTCTTATGTTTTTATGGTATGTTTACGTGTTACTGTAAGGTGACCTTGAGGGTCTGAAAGGTGCCTATAAATAAAATGTAATTATTATTTATTATTATTATTATTATTATTATTATTATTATTATTATTATTATTAAAGCTGAAGGCTCTGCCTCCCATTCTACTTTTAAATGGTCTAGGAACCATAAGTAAGCTTGCATGGGGCCAGATTCTTCAAGACCTTTCATGTGAGGCGAAGGATTTTAAATTTGATCCTATATTTAAGAAACATACGATGAAGAGAAGACAATATTGGAGAACTATGCTCCCAGTCTGCATCGTGGCTCAAGAGTTGGCAGTTCGCCTTGTAATCGGAAGGTTGCTGGTTCGAGCCCCGGCTGCAACAGTCTCGGTTGTTGTGTCCTTGGGCAAGACACTTCACTCGTTGCCGCCTGGTGGTGGTCAGAAGGCCTGGTGGCGCCAGTGTCCGGCAGCCTCGTCTCTGTCAGTGCGCCCCAGGGCAATGTAGCTTCCTATCCCCAGTGTGTGTGAATGGGTGGATGACTGAATGTGTAAAGCGCTTTGGGGTCCTTAGGAACTAAGTAAAGCGGCATACAAATACAGGCCATTTACCATAATATCTCCTATATGTGTATACAAAGCCCCTTTTATACATAATACCATGAATAGTAACTTTTCAGCTTTTTATTTAATATCACTGCAAATCATAACTGTACAAATAAACTTATTCAAAACCGCAGACTGCATATAAAACACGGATGGGGCTTTGAGGTCAGGAATGGAAGTCCTTAAAAGTGCATTCATTCTAATGGCCAGTAGGGGGCGACTCCTCTAATCCGCCGCTTTCTTAATCTTTGATCTTGAATTTTTACCTTAGTTCAAATGGGAGGATAAAGCAAGTTGTGATTTAAAAGGTTTAAATTGAGTCTTCGCCAACTATCTTTTATACACAGTTTAAATTTAAACATATTCTTTAGTCCATTCCCTGAAAGCATCACATAGTAAATATGCACAAATGTCTGAAATTTAACAAACTTTGTGTCTGTAGGTATGGGATCCTTTAACACGGTCCAAACAGATGAGCTTATATTTGAAAACGTCTTATATGCTAAATACTTAATTCAATCCACCTCGGGCAGGAAAATTGGTGCATGATGAAGGAAAAATGGTTCAAGGACAGAAAAGTCCCCGAGGAGAAACGTTTTAGGTGAAGTCAAATTACCCAACATGCTTCTCTCTCACTGCTAACCAGGGTGGGGGTGGTTTTGGGGGTTACTATGGAAACGGCAGAAGGATCAAGCGTGGAAGTGAAGAAGGAGGGTGAAGATGAATGAATAGCTGGAGTAAAGAGGAATCATTCCTCTACCGGCAGCCCGAGGTGCGGTGCCGGCGGTCGAGCTGTCGTTTGTCACAACGGCAGAACCAGCCGAGATGAGATCTGTATCTTTATGTCTATCACACACACACACACACACGCTCACATCTTCTTTTGGCTTCAAGGTCATTGCCTCTACTCTTTTGGTGACAGTGGAGTGGGGGTGGAATAATAAACCTTTGAACGACGAGTTCCTGGTGAGCTGACGTCTCACGAAGATGCAAATCTGTGAATAAAATGCGGGCACATGTGCCGTACGTGTGTGTGTGTGTGTGTGGATGAATAATAAACTTGTCAGAGAGATTCTCTCTCTGCAGATGAAAGCAATAAAAAGATCTTTTTCGACCATATTTTATTTATAGATGGCTCTATTTTCAGCTATTTGATCCACACTCAATATAAAACACTACGCGAGACAGATATTTCAAATTCAGCAGTCTTCAGAGCACAGTCAGTCTCTGAGCATTAAACATGCTGAACGTTATCCTCTGATTATTCACCGCTCCTTACTGCACGTTCATTAAACACAGAACTGCATATGTCAGCCCAGTCAGGCATGAACTGCAACATTACTGCTGGTAAAAACAAACAGTTTGTTTTTTCATGATGAATTTTAACATTTTAATTTGAAATTTTATCCTCTTGAAAACTCTAATGTCAGCTAAACCCCGTTAGGACTTTGTGAAGTTTGAAAACTGAAAAGTTGTCTTCTCAGACTGTGGATATGACATCCCGTTACATCTAAGAGGCAGAATTACTAAACGGGGTGTGACTGCAATCCCCAAATGAAGCCTGTGTGCAAGTTCACTAAGGAAGATCTGCATTCACTCATCTGTCTTCTTGTCCAGGTGTTTGGCTGCTGGTATGTTAATTACATCACTTCCACTTTCCCACACTGTAAAACTCAACGACAACATCATTTCTGTATCTTCAATCAGTCTCCACGCTATAATCCTGCTCCTCATCTTTCATTCTCCCTTGCAGTGTGCTTTGTGCAACCCACCTGCTCACTCCATCTTATCTTCATCACCACTGGCATCTAGACTCCAGGGGGGTCTTGCAATTCCCATCACCGCTGGGATTTCATTCTGCTGCGATGGGCCATCCGAGTCTAATCGCCAAATAGCATAACTGAATTCTGCATATCAATAAATGAGTCAGCTCCTTCTAATGACCTCTCCGTATTGAGACAGCACTCATAGGTGTGGTTAGTTTTACAGGATTTTACAAAAGTTGTTTAACTGTTGGATGAAAGCCTCTGGGTAGCTCATCATGATGAAGATCAGGTAATCCTGATTCACATATACTGGGATCACTGGTTTTGGGGATAATTATTACCAGGGACAAGAGATTTTTTTAGATTAAAATGATGTGACTATAGTGCACAGATACAAAACAAGACAACATGGGTAGTATTGCAATTTATGCTGCAAAATCTTTTAAAACCTAAAACATTTTCGGGCTAACTGAGTAATAAAATTTAGTTCTTAGTGGAAAACAAAACAAAACACATGATGATATTCAGCCTTGTGCTGTCTACACAGACCACCTTGATTCAGATGTCCAAGCAGTGTTGCATAGTAATCAGCGGCCACACAGCACAGCACAAGATAACAACACACAACCGAAGGGGAGGAAAAGCCTGTTCCTAAGAGCACAACCCATCAAAATGCTGCTCACAGCCAAAAGTTTCGAACGCCCAGGTCCAGCTCTCCGGAGAGCTTTCTATTTTTCTCAAGGAGCACTAAATCCCTCCAGCTTCTCTCCGATGAATACAATGAAATGGCCTGACTCATTCCAGATTCACCCGGAGTACCTCGGCCTTGTTGGCCCTCACAATTGACAAGCCAACAAAACAGAGCAAAGCCTGGAAAAATAAAATCCACCGCAGGAGGTTGTGAACTGCTTTAAAGCTGCCAGAGATTCACTTTTCACCTCCTCTTACTAAATGTTTTTGCTTTTAAGTAGCACAGAGCGTACGCACCTCTACTTTTAGGGGTGAAGGAGCCGAAAGCCTCTTATACACAGCACACAAAGATGGATTAATGTGGCCTGGAAAGTGAAGGTAAACAGAAAACATATTGTGAGTGAACAGGAAGGAGGCTGAAATTAACATAAAAACCTATTATTAAACTAAAGGATGTGTTTGTGAAGGATTTTCATTCTTATTTCCTATTTCTTGTATGTTCAAATTAACTGTGTAAAGAACAAATAATTAAAAATAAATGTTGGCAGAATAACAAAGAACAGAAATATACTGTAAATCACTGCATTGTAATCCTTATTTCATCCTTATTTTGGCATTTGTGATTATACTTTTGCATAGAAGGACCTGGTCCACTGTTTAGCACTGATTAATGTTAAATTCAGCCTTATTTTTATGGTAATACAGGACAATTGAAACCTTTTTTTCAGACCAAAGTAATATCTGCACACAGCTCCAGCAATAAGTCTGTATAAGAGGACAAATTCAGGGGCAAAATAAACCGCACTGACTAGAGCTTGTAATAACTTAGATGCTCATTTTTAAATTATAAAAGTTAAGAAAAGTAGGTTTGTGGAAACTGAGAGAGAGGGGATTTTAAACTCTCATCCACCCTTCCTACCTGAGATTTAAAGGTCTTTATAATATGATCTTTTTAAAAATGATTTTTTTTAAAGAGCAGGAATCGCTCAGGCAGAGCAGACTGAAACTTTAATGCTTCATACTTTAATGGTATCAATATTGCAGTACAGCTAAAAATACAGTCATTTTAACATAGAAGTGAAAGACTGGGAGCTGTAAAGATAAACCTCTGATAAATTGCTTTCTCATTAAATTACCTATTTATATATAAAATGGCAGAAAAAAATCTCCAAAGCCCAAAAATAATTCATTAAGGTATAAAATAGAAGCGGGAAGAAGCATAAATATGTTTGCTGATGATTACTGAATACGCTTTTCAGCTCTACACATGAATCACAAGCTTTAATTACAGATAAGTTTAGGTTACTTTTGTAACCCTGGTTCTCCGAGTTGCATAATTGAGACGTCTCACCAGACAGCTCTTCTTGCTGGAGCAAAGTGATCAATGGAGTTTATTTTGATTAATAGTAACACAAGCAACACTATGTTACTATTGTGTTAGTAACATAGTTACTAACACTAGTCATGCTTTCCAGCTAAGTCTGTTTCAAAGAAAAGGAGCAGAAAATAAACTCGATGGCTCTGTGGATCTCTGCCAAGGACCAACAGTCCACTCTTCTATGAAAGTCAACAAACAAATCATTGGAAACATCAAAGCTTTTTTTTTCTTACTTAATATTATAGTAAATTCCCCCCAAAATGTGAATGATTGGGTGATCGCATTTGCTGTTTTTTGAGTCTTTGCCACTGATCGACTTTTGAAAAGGAAAAATCCACATACTCTAATATTGCTCAGGAAGCTTTGTCTGACGATCATCCGAAGCCAAATTTGGTGAAGTCTGGAAAAACTTTTGGTATGCAAAAAATACGTATATGTCGTCCTAAAACGCATTTGTGCCAGAACACTGTGATTGAACTTGTTTTGATGTGAGAAATGCAAAAATAACTTAGTTCAAACATTTTTAGCATAACCCCACCTAAATTAGTCCTACTTGCTCAAGGCAGATAAGCCAAAATTTAAATGAAAAATGAAA